GTGATCAATTGGCCTCAAACTTGTGATCCTCCTGCTTCAGCCTCTCAAGTTACTGGGATTACAGGCCTGCACTACCTCTTCTGGTTTCTCCTTGTGATCTTTAGATAAACTTCAGTGGCTCTTTGGATACTTGGTCCTTGTAGCCAGGAAAACAGAAACTGCTATTTATGAATAGTAGTTCTTTTTGTCTAGACTGACAGTAAGGATTTTGAGAAATCATAACACAATTGGGACAAAGGAGTTTTATGAGCAGCTGTAAAAGTGGTGGTAGGGACTAAAAGGCACCTCCACAAGGGAAGTGTAACAAAAGAAAAGTTGATGGAAATGGGCTGTACCAACCCTAAGTGTTTTCAGGTTATATCTGGTTAGCAAGCAGGGAATGTGATGAGTTTTTCATATATACCTGAAGAACTGAGCTAGATATTATGTAGTGTAAGAGTAGAAGCATATAGAAATGCTTCACATGGGAGTCCTAACAGTTAACTACAAAGACTATATGTGGGCTGGGGTTGTGGCTTAGCAGTAGAGAACTTACCTAGCACATGTGGAGGCCCTGGGCTCAATCCTCAGCACCATATAAAAATAAGTAAGTAAAATAAAGGTATTGTGTCCAACTATGACTAAAAAATAAATACTTAAAAAAGATTATATGTGAGAAATTATAAAATTTATCCTGACACAGAACTTGGTATCTGGCACAGGTTTTAGAGGGAAGTAATGTTAAGAAGACTTTAGATTTTGTCTAAAAACCCAATTAGCAATGACTCAACTAGTTTTCCTTTGTCAGCGCTGATTTTCAAGATAGCCTGTTAACTGGTTTTGTTGTTCCTTTTAGAGTATATTCCGTGTAGTGTTCCATGACAGAAGGCTACAGTACACTGAACATCAGCAGTTGGAGGGCTGGCGGTGGAACCGACCTGGTGATAGAATTCTTGATATAGGTGAGTTAAGAGAAATGCCTTTAAGGATGGACTGAGAATTGTTTTCTTTACTTGACATTTACATTAATTCATATGCTTCAGAGGCTCAGTTAGCATAAGCCTTGAAGTGGTTATTTACTAAACACAAAAAATTATTTGTATGATGGTATCAAAATTGAAGTTGGAAGTATAAACATTACACTTCTACAGCAATTGCAACCATGACTTCAGGGTGGTTTCGTTTTGTTTTTAAACTATGGAAAAATATGATAACATGCAATATTATAATGTATTATATAAAATTTGTCTTTTTTAGCTATTTTTAGCTGTACAATTCAGTATTAAGTACATTTACTTTATTGTGCCACCATCACCATCCATCATCTCCAGGACTTTTTTCATCTTGCAAAACTGAAGTTCTGTACTCATGAAACAATAATCACCCCTCTCCTTCCTAGCCCCTGTGTCCTCTATTTTGCTGTCTCTATGAATCTATGAATGGATTACTGTAGATACCTCATGTAAATAAAATCATACAATATTTATCCTTTTGTGACTGAGTTCTTTTACTTATTAGCATAATGTTTCTTCCATGTTAGAATTTCTTTCCTTTTTTGTGTGTGTGTTGTGTGTGTACATGCATATATGTGTATGTATTGGGGATCAAACCCAGGGCCTTGTACATTTAGAATTTCTTTCCTTTTTAAGGCTAAGTAATATTTCATTATATGTATATACTACATATATACTACATTTTGTTTATCTATTCATCTGTTGATGAATACTTTTTAGCTATTGTGAATAATGCTACTGTGTACCTGGATATACAAATATTTGAGTCTCAGGTTTCATTTCTTTGGGGTATATACCCAGAAGTAGGATTACTGGATCTCAGAATTAAATTCTAATTTTTTTGAGGAAGAACTATTTTCTACAGTGGCTGCACATTTTACATTCCCACCGGTAGCGCTCAAAGGTTCCAGTATTTAATGTGTGTTTGTGTGTGTATGTGTATCTGTGTCTATGTGGTATTAGAAATCAAACCCAGGGCCATATAAATGTCAGTATAAAAGCACTATACCATTGAGCTACAGCCCCAACCTATGAATTTTTTTTTTTTTTTGAGAGAGAGAGAGAGAGAGAGAGAATTTTTTAATATTTATTTTTTAGTTTTTGGTGGACACAACATCTTTATTTTTATGTGGTGCTGAGGATCGAACCCAGCGCCCTGCGCATGCCAGGCGATCATGTTACTGCTTGAGCCACATCCCCAGGCCTCATTTTTTTTTTAAAATAGCTATTGTAATGGGTGTAAAGTGATATCTCATTGTGGTTTTGATTATATTTTCCTTAATAATTAGTGATGTTGAGCATCTTTTCATATGCTTACTGGCCCTTTGAATAGCATTGTGTGTGGTGTGGGTGCTACTGGGGATTGAACATTGGGGCATTCTATCATGAGCTATACCCTCAGCCCTTTTTAATTTTTTTATTTTGAGATAGGCTCTAAGTTGCCGAGGCTGGCCTTGAATTTGCAATCTTTTTGCCTTAGCCCCCTGAGTTTCTGGGATTATAGGCATGCACCATTGCCCCCAGCTGTTGGTTAATATTTTCTATTGGTAGATATAGTTGTTAAGGAAGCTTAAGAACTACTGATTTTACTTGAGACATCAGTGGTTCTCATACAGTTATCCTGAGATTTGTATGAGAAATTGACCTCAGATGAATCCAACACAACTAATATTGTGGAATGGGATCTATTTGATGCTTTCTTGTTTGAATCATTGATGCCAAAACAGGAGTTTAGTTATAGCATGGGGTTGATAATAAGTAATATCACCTAACCTTATCTCTCTAGTTTGAATATTAATAGGAAAAGTCAGGGAATGATATTTGAATATACACCAAGTGGAATATAAAGTAAGGTTTTACTAAACTCCATTAAATTTTTCCCTTTTTTTTAAACTTTATTTTAATTTATTTTTTAAATGTAGTTGGACACAATACCTTTATTTTATTTATTTATTTTTATGTAGTGCTGAGGATCAAACCCAGCACCTTGCACATGCTGTGTTAGCATTCTACTACTGAGCCACAACCCCAGCCCCCAATTTTTTTCTTCTTGAGCATATTTGTCATTGTGTTATCAGATTACCTGGTGATTTGGTAAGTCAGCATCAATCTTTGTTAAACTTTTCATGCTTCGTCTGTGATATAATACTTTCTGCCTTTGTACAGGCACTGCTGTACCTGTCTAGTAATTCTCTCAATGTGCTTCTAGCAGTAACACAAATCTTCAGACTATAAATAAAACTCATCATAAATTACAATTTTTGTGATAGTAGAGCTGGTATATAGACCTAACTTATTTTCAAATAGAATTTTAGCAAATTAAAAAAAAAAACTGTCTTAAAATTGCCTGATATCAAAGACTTGGTCAAATGGAAGAAAGGTACTCAAAATACCTTTCTTTCTGAATACTTCAGTCAATGTTAACTTTTATTTTCTTCAGTGTTGGGGATTGTATCCAGGGCCTTGTGTATGTTAGGGAAATGTTCTACCACTTAGCTATACCCCTAGCTCCCAGTTTTAACATTAATCAAATTTTACATTGGCAATAAAGAGATTATGGATTTTATATCCCCCAAATTTTAGTAACTAGGTATGAGTGATGTAAGAATGAGTGCTTTCTTACATAAATCTGAGCAGTCTTGGATGTGATGGCACATGACTTATTCCAGCTACCTGGGAGGCTTAAACCAGAAGATCACTTGAGTCCAACAGTTTGAAGCCAGCCTGAATAACACAGCACAACTCTATCTCAAAACAAAACAAAGTAAAACAAGGAGCCCTCATAACCATTCAATGATTACCATTTTGTTTCTTAGATATCCCAATGTCTGTGGGTATAATCGATCCTAGAGCTAATCCAACACAATTAAATACAGTGGAGTTTCTGTGGGACCCTGCAAAGAGGACATCTGTGTTTATTCAGGTAAGGCCTTGCAAATGTATTTCCAGTTATGAAGAACATCTCTTTCTACCAGTTTGTTTCTTAATGGATGATATGTGTTAAATATGAAATTTTTTTGAGTGCTGGGGTTTGAACCCAGGACCTTACTACTGAGCTACACCCCTAGCCTCTAAATTTGAATTCTGTTCAGGGTTTTAACCTGTCATATACAAATTCCTCAACATGTGCCTAAGCACGGAGGAGTTTTTTAATTGCTCTTCTAATTACCTAAATTTATTTATTTATATCTTCCTAAAATTCCTATTAATGGCTGCATAATATATCATTCTTTGGTTGTACCATTAACTCACCTAACAGTTATTTAACGTCTAAATTGTTCTGATTCTCCCGGTTATATATAAGGATATTTTGAACATCTGTATACTTAAAATTGAATTTGCGTATCTCATTTATCCTTTGGGTAGTTTCCTCAAAAATCTTTATTTTAATGATAGCTGCTAGTTTGTTTAGTACTTAACATTGAGATAGTTACTGTGTTAAATGAACACTTTGTATATATAACTTTACCGTTTATAATACTGTGGAGTAAGAACAGTCTTTGAGGCTTAGAAAGATTGAGTAATTTAAGTTTTTAAATTAAAAAAAAATTTAAGTTGGGGATGCACACAATACCTTTTATTTTATTTGTTTATTTTTATGTAGTTGTGAGGATTGAACCCAGTGCCTCACACATACTAGGCAAGTGCTCTACTACTGAGCTACAACCACAGCCCCAAGATTAAGTAATTTACTCAAGCTAGTAGGTGGTCAATCAGACAAGGTTCTATTGTTAAGATTCACCAGTTTTAGACTTTATGCAGTAGCCAAGCAAATATTTTTCACCTATTACTGTGAGCTTCAATATTTGCTATTTTCACAGCATGAACTTTGCCTCCTCTTTCTAAAGTCCAGTTTAAAGATGAAACAGTACTAACTTAAATAATTTCTCTTTTATATAAACTCTGTATTCTCTGAAGCAGTTAATAAATTTAGTTCCTCACAATAGCTTTTGATAACATGAGATCTGTATATCTACTTTGTTTACATTCATAAATCACTTACATTTTTCTCAGTTCCTACATTAGACTGTATGTTCTTCAGAATGCAAAATGGAGGGAAAGTCTTTTGTAGGTATTCATAAATGTTTGTTAAAGGTTTTGCTGTTTGTAATTTCTCAAAAAATATTATTGACTGGTTGGCTAGCTAGTAGTCCTGAAGCCTTGATGTTGTATTCCTTTCAGGTACACTGTATTAGCACAGAGTTCACAATGAGGAAACATGGAGGAGAAAAGGGGGTGCCATTCCGAGTACAAATTGATACCTTCAAGGAGAATGAGAATGGGGAATATACTGAGCACTTACACTCAGCCAGTTGCCAGATCAAAGTCTTCAAGGTATTCCTGGGCAGTGGGCTGGACCTTGGATACTTTTTTCTTATCTTTCTATTTTAACATTAGTTACTAAGAAAGTCAACTTGTCATTTTGCAAAAACTGCAAAGTCAGTCTAAGTTAGAGTCATTGAAATGACTGCTGAGATGCATGTTACTTTATGTGGGTATAGGCATGGAATAATGGGAACTTGGAAACGGGGGCTATATGCAAAAAAGAAAGAAAAAGAATTCTCATTAAACTCTTAAAGCCTGTTGAAGTTACAAGCTCTTGTAAAGCTCACAAAAATTGTGGAGAGTTGACTAATTTAGTTTTATTCATACCTGATCTTTATTTTGATCTTTCTTTTTATCACATGGATAAATACATTCTTATTGCAAGTGACTCATTAATATAAAAGTATTCAAAGTACAACACTGAAATTTCCCTTAATCACTCTTACCCTAACTCCCCAACTTCTTCCCAGAGATAGCCGCTGATATAACATGGTATACACTTCTTCCCTTTTATGCTTTTATATATAAGCATGCATAAGTATTCACATATTTTTCTTTATTTGAAACATAAATAGAATTATACTATATAAATCATTTTGAGACTTTATTTTTTTTCAGTTAACTATGTACTTTAGAGATCTTCCCATCTGTCTTATTCTTTTCCAATTATATCAAACATTTAAATTTCCTATTTTCAGACTTAGATAGGGTGATGCATTTCATCATACATCATTGTACATACCTGTCATACATCATTGTACATACCTGTTTGTTTCAGATGTGAATATTTAGGTTTTTTAAATTAATATTGTTAACCAGGTATGGTGGTACACACCTTAATCCTAGCTATTTGTGAAGCTAAGGCAAGAGGATTTCAAGTTCAAGGCCATCCTAGGCAATTGAAGGAGACCCTGTCTCAAAATAAAAAATAAAAAGGGTTAGGGATGTAGCTCAGTGGTATCTGACACAAGGCCTGGGTTCCATCTCCATTGCCAAAAAAGAAAAAAAGTTATATTGTTGGGTTAAAGAGTGAGTACTTGAGGTTAAAATACAACATTTCTCATTTCAGCCCAAAGGTGCAGACAGAAAACAAAAAACAGATAGAGAGAAAATGGAGAAACGAACACCTCATGAAAAGGAGAAATATCAGCCTTCCTATGAGACAACTATACTCACAGAGGTAAAAAGGATTTCTTTTGGTGACAATTTCAGTCCATAATTTTAACTCTTTTGTGTATGTGTGGTGCTGGGACTTGAACCCAGGGCCTTGTATGGCTAGGCAAGTGTTCTACCACTGAGCTATACCTATGACCCCTTAATTTTTACTCTCTTAAAGAAAAATCTGTCATTTCTAGCCTGTCTAAATTTACTTCTGAGCATATTCTTTTTTGCTTATGGAGACCTCTGAGGAATTAAGATTTACTAATCAAGATGTTCTATTCAAGGAATAATATTTTAATGGAACACTAGAATTAAATGTGCTTTTTCATTATCTAAGTTATCCTTTGTTTTTAGTGTTCTCCTTGGCCTGAGATCACCTATGTCAATAATTCCCCATCACCTGGCTTTAACAGTTCCCATAGCAGTTTTTCCCTTGGGGAAGGGTAAGTCTGGGAAATGAAATTGGCTTTTGTTTGTACTAAATATGTATTCTTTCATTAGTTTCTGTTAATTTTCCAAATCAATAAGTAGTTCTGTTTGGTCAGTCTTGATGAAGTTTTGCAGTATCAGAGATTTGGATTATCTTCAAAAGAGATTGAAACAATTTATAGCCCTTTTCCCTCCCCTCTGTTTCTCCTCATTCTTGAAATGGCGTTTAACTATTAGAGCATTAATGGTCAGCTTTTAGTGATTTTTGGAAGGCTGGGGGGTACCAGGGATTGAAATCAGGGGCACTCAACCACTGAGCCACATCCCCACTCCTATTTTGTATTTTATTTAGAAACAGGGTCTCACTGAGTTGCTTAGCACCTCTCTTTTGCTGAGGCTGGCTTTGAACTTGTGATCCTCCTGCCTCAGCCTCTGTTGCCGCTGGGATACAGTTGTGCACCAGCACCTGTCTTGCTTATTTAAGCTTCTTGATTTACCCTATTTTTGCTCGTGTTGTGGTTATGTCACATCGTGGTCAGACTTGCACTAGGAAGTGGTCATTGGCAACTGGAAAAACAATTGTATAGACACTAAAATTTGTTTTATTACATGTTAAGAATGTTCCTAACACCTAGTTATTGTGGATCTTCGATCATTGGGGAAAGTAGTTTGAAGATGATAGTTAAAATAAAGTTTTAGAATTACCTGTGGGATTGCATTTAATCTTGGCATATTACATTTCACTGTCAGAGATAATTGAAAGTTGGTGTAGAACCCTGCCCCAATTTTTAAAAGTCTTTAAAAGTCTTACAGTCCTAGCATTTAACATGTATTCTACATAGCCATATTGTAACTTGGAAATAGGCTACTAAAAAGTGTGAGCATATTGTTTATTTGTAATGTTTGTTTTTTGGATTTATTTAGGCTCTATGTTTGACCTACTTCTTAAAGTATTTAATTAAGGTAGCTTAAATATTTAAAATGAAGCAATTAAGCATAAAAGAGGCATTTATTTGTAGAGGGTCTATATATAACCAGGGCCCTGAGATAAATTAATTACTGTTTTTTAAAATTATATTGTTTTAATACCAAATTTTAGCTAAGGCTAAAAAGAGAAAAAACATTTTTTGTTCTTTATTTTAAGGGACAGGGTCTTGTGATCTTCTTGTCTCAGCCTCTGAAGTACCTGGGACTATAGATGTACACCACTCTGTAAAGCTAAAAAAAAAAAAAAGACCTCTTGGAAACAAAAATTTCTTGCCATCCACAAGGATGGTGCAATCTTCTTATAGGAACTTTAAATATTTATATGTGGTTTAAAGTTTGTGTTTTAAATTTTTCTCTTTTCTTTGTCCTGTACTTCATTATTAGGATAATTTTTTTCCATAAAAAAGATAAGTGTTAGGGAAAAGATGATCCATAGACAAAAGAAAGCATAAAGAAAAACCAAGGGTGTGGAGATAACTCTTGGATCACAAATTAGACAGCACTAATTTTTAAGCTGTTTTAAAAGTAATTGTTTTTCATTAGAAAAGTATGCAGTTCATAAATTTTCTTTCAGTTTTTTTCCTTTATGTATATGTTTACCTACTTAATATAGTAGTAATAGTAGTAAAATACTAGTACTTTTATATCCCCATATTTTTCATTCTAATCCATTTCTGTTAGTAGCATTTATTTATTCATGAGTGCTAGTAATTGAACCCTGGGCCTTGTGCTTTCTAGGCAAGTGTTTTACCATTGAGCTATATCTCTAATCCCTTATGTTATGTTATTATTTTCTCATCAGTTTCACTTTTTAAAATTTTAGTTAGTTTTCTTAATTTACTCAGTAATAAAAGTGTTGCAAATGACAGTTTCTTCTCTTCCCCCTGAAGTTTTCAGGTTAATTAACATATAATATAACTTAAAGTTTTAGATCAAAGAATAAGAATGCTTTATGAGAATACAGATTTTTTAAGTCTCTGGCTTAGGAGTTACTGTGAAGATGAAGAATGAGATAATAGACCCTACTATGAGTCATAGACTGATGCTTTCATTTTAAATGTTTCTTTAGAAATGGTTCACCAAACCACCAGCCAGATCCTCCCCCTCCAGTCACTGATGTAAGTCTAAATTTAAATGTCAATTATTTGCAATGTCTAATAATATTTTGATGACTCTGCAATTATGATATGTCCATCTTTTAAGGGATATTATTCATTCATGAAGCAAGCATTCATTGAATTTTTTCTGTAGGAACTGGAAATATGAACAAGTAATGGAGAACCCTTGGGGATTTTTTTTGTTTTGATTTTTTGAGACAGGGGTCTCACTATGTTGTTCAGACTGGTCTCAGTTTGTAAGTTTCAGTGATCCCTCTACTTCAGCCTCCTGAGTGGGACTACAGGAACCCTTCAATTTGAGGAGTTTATAGTTTAGTGGGAAAGATAAGGATAGAGCTTCTTGGATAGAGAAAGAGATTGATGTAGTATAAACAACTTCCAAACAAGCAAGGCCTGTCTGAGTAGGTGTGTGGGTGGGTGGGTGATGTCTGGCTATGTAATACACCAGTGAATCTATTTAATTACCGAAAACATGCTTTCTTCCTTTCAGAACCTCCTGCCAACAACCACACCTCAGGAAGCGCAGCAGTGGTTGCATCGAAACCGTTTTTCTACATTCACCAGGCTTTTTACCAACTTCTCAGGTTAAATTTGCTTTTCTTTTGATATGAGCAAATCATTCAAGGGTCTTCTGTTATCCTGATAGACATGTTTCTAATATTAGCAAATGCCATAATTCCATTCTTCTTAAAGCTGAGTAATATTCCATTGAATATATATACTACATTTTCTTTATCCATTTATCTACTGAAGGACACCTATGTGGGTTCCAAGTCCCCCTATATGCATTTCATTAGTGTATTTTTTCATTATTATTATTATTATTATTATTATTATTATTATTATTATTTGTACTAAGGATTGAGCACAGGGGCACTTTACCATTGAGCCACATCCTAGGCCATTTTATTTTTTTTATTTTGAGACAGGGTCTTATTAAACTGCTTAGAGCCTCACTAATTAGCTGAGGTAGGTCTTGAACTTGCAATTCTCCTGCTTTAGCCTCCCAAGTTGTTGGAATTTCAGGCATGTGCCACCGTGCCCAGCTTAGTGCATTTTTTTATGAAATAAATTTCATAAATCTTTCAGACTTTGTCACCATCTGGAGCTGTGCTGTGAGAGACTTAAAAAGAAACACTTCTTAGTTTGAATTCACTTTAATTTTAAAATACTTATTCCATGAAGTACTTCTAAAAATGTATATTCCATACATAATTTTATCAAGGGGCATTTGTAGGTAAAAATTTTCCGTTTGATATCACTATATTGTATTTTATTTATAAGCCCGCTTTTATTTAGTATCTTCTTTTTAAATTTTTGTTTTAATTAGTTATACATCACAATAAAATGCATTTATATATCATACATAGATGGGGTATGATTTCTCATTTTTTATTTATTTTTATGTGGTGCTGAGGATCTAACCCAGGGTCTCGCACGTGCAAGGCAAGAGCTCTACTGCTGAGCCACAGCCATAGCCCCTCATTTTTTTTTTAAATGAGAATTTTTTTCTAAGGTTATATACCATTGTGATCAATTTATTTATATGTGGTGCTGAGAATCAAACCCTGAGCTTCACACGGGCTAGGCAAGCATTCTACCACTGAGCTCTGATCCCAGCCCCTTCATTTTTCTGATTGTACATGTTGTAGAATTACTTTAGTCATATACACACACACACACACACACACACACACACACACACACACACAGATAAATATAGATATAGATAAAAAGTAATAATGTATATTTCATTCTACTGTCCATCCTATCCTCATATCCCGTCCTCTCCCCTCCCTTCACTACCTAACTCTATTCTTCCCTAGTGCCCCCACCATTGTGAACTAGCACCCACATATTAGAGAAAACATTCCACCTTTGGTTTTGGGGGGTTGACTTATTTTGCTTAGCATGATATTCTTCAGCTCCATCCATTTACTGGCAAATGCCATAATTCCATTATTCTTAAAGCTGAGTAATATTCCATTGAATATATATACTACATTTTCTTTATCCATTTATCTACTGAAGGACACCTATGTGGGTTCTAAGGTTTAGCTATTATGAATCGAACTGTTATAAACATTAAACATAGATGTGGCTCTGTCACTGTAGTATTTAGCATCTTTTATGTACCATCTTCTATAGTAGGAATACACAAATTTATAAGGCATACTTCCTGATCAAAGACTTCATTCATCATCTAGTATATAAAAAGCTCAAATCAAAATAAAATCCCAGTAGATAATGTTCCAACACACATTTGTAGGAAGTGAGATGTTCAGGGGAGAGTCTGATATATTAAGGAGCTTATGTGACATGTGAAGTGAATCTTGAGGGATGAGAAGAGGAACCTATTGGTCAGACAGTCAAGGATATTTCAGGCAGGAAGAACAGCTTGCTCGGGCTGGGGATGAGGCTCAAGCGGTAGCGCGCTCGCCTGGCATGCATGCGGCCCGGGTTCGATCCTCAGCACCACATACCAACAAAGATGTTATGTCCGCCGAGAACTAAAAAATAAATATTCAAAATTCTCTTTCACTCTCTCTCCTCTCTCACTCTCTCTTTAAAAAAAAAAAAAAGGGGATTAAATTAAAAAAAAAAAAGAACAGCTTGCTCATTCAGCACCACCAGCAAGATGAAAGCATAGGGTTAAGTGAAGAAATTCATTGGATGAGACTTAGGAGATGAGGCAGGGACCAGTTAATAAAGATCCTATGTACTATGCAAAAGATCATGGGTTATAACATTACCGGTGATGAGGTATACTTGTAATAGAGTCCATCTTAATAGGTATTAACAAAGAGAATCTTTGCCTTTATCACCCATTTTCTTACATTTATTCCAGGGGCAGATTTATTGAAACTAACTAGAGATGATGTGATCCAAATTTGTGGCCCTGCAGATGGAATCAGACTTTTTAATGCATTAAAAGGCCGGTATGTAATTAGTGTTAAAATATCAATGAAGGGGCTGGGGTTGTGGCTCAGTAGTAAAGTGCAGGACTTGTGCTGTTAGGCACTGGGTTCAATCCTTACTACCACATAAAAATAAAAAAGGTATTGTGTCCATCCACAACTAAAAAAAAAAAATATATATATATATATATATATCAATGAAGTTGAATTTCAGGTGAATTTGGGTTCAGGGATTCTTCACAATATTTTGCACAATTAAATGCATTGTGTCAAAACTTTTTTTAAAAGAAAATACTAGCTATGTACCAAGTAAACACAGATAAAAAAAATCCTTTCTTAAAATTGATTCCCCATAATACCCCATTTTTTGCAGTAGTGGGGAGCTTACCCAGTGCCTTGTACATGCTAAGCAAGTGCTGTTCCACTGAGCTACTTCCCTAGCCCAATTTCCAGGTAGTTTTTTTCATCCAATAAATATGTATTGTCTTTATCATGAGCCAGTTACTATTATAGGCTCTGGAGACATATTCATGAACAAAACAGACAAGTACCCATTGTTACAGAGTTTACTCCTTTTTTTTTTTTTTTAACTGGTGAGTTTACTTTCTAGTAGGGAGAAAACTATATATAAATAATAAATTTTTTGGATAGTGAGGGCTTTAAAGGCAAATAAAACAAATGTGCAAAAACAAGAGAATGGGCTACAGAGTACAGAGAAGATGGTCAGGAAAGAGGTCTATTAGGAGGGGATATTTAGACTGTTATGAGAAAGATGAAGGAGCTATGGAGTCATGAGGGAAGAACATTCTAGGCAGAAGAAACAGCAGGTACTAAAGCCCTGAATCAGTTTTAACTGGAGAACAGATCATTTCAAAGTTTTGGGGGAGGATTTATCTATTTTTAATGTGGTACTGAAGAACAAATGTAGGGTCTTAGGCATGCTAGGCAAGTGCTCTACCACTGAACTATACCCCCTGTCCCCAGCCCTGGGTTGGAATTATTTAAGTGTATGTTTACAAATTATACTTGTAATAAAGACTAATTTGAAGTTCTTTTTTGAGATTTAAAGTAGTTTTAAATACATAGTAGTAATATTGATGGAAAAAACAGAGGTCAATGACAATAGACCCAAATAACTAATAAATTTTGGAGAATTTATATTTATAATATCACAAGGGATATTGAATCAGATTGGCTATAATCTTGGAAAATATTAAGGAAAGAGATGAAATTCAATTGTCAGCAACTTAGGGGAAAAAGAATGGCTCTTTCATGTTAAGTGTATTATCTAAAGAATGTTTAGAAATAGAAAGGAATGAGATGATCAGATCAAGAGGTAAATGTATACCTTAGAGTAAGAAGTAAGAGGCCAGAAAGGGCTTAGGATACTTAGGAGAAGGTAAGATTCTTCAGTTTACTATATTAGCATTTTTTAGTGAAATGTTTATCTTGAGCCTTATCCATAAAGCAGTGATTCATACATTTTGGACATTTCTTATCTTTTCACCAAAGATCACAAACTTAAATGACTACAGGGACCACATAGATATTGTAAAGGAATGACAGTCAAAGTTTAGGGTTTAGTAAAGAATGCACACACCATGTAAGGATAACATGATTGCTTTCATGCGAGATTGGGGTTCCTGGACTGCTAGATGTGGTTTTTCAAGAAAAGTCAAAATTCACAGGTTTATCTGATGCTTCCTGTTGGAACTAGTTCAGTTTAAACAAACAAAAGCCACCACAGGTGAACTAATAAAGCTGGCAAATGAGTTGTATTTAGCCCATGATTTGCCTGTTTTCAATCCCTGCTCTATACTATTAATGTAGAAATACAAGTTTTTCTTTAAAATGAACTTACCATAAAATATGCAAGATTAACAACCCTTTTCTTTACCGCTTAGGATGGTGCGTCCAAGGTTAACCATTTACGTCTGTCAGGAATCATTACAGTTGAGGGAACAGCAGCAGCAACAGCAGCAGCAACCACAACAGAAGCATGAGGATGGAGACTCAAATGGTACTTTCTTCGGTAGGTTGTTCTGGGCAGACCAGGATAGATGAAGAAAGGTGAAGAGATGATTTATGACCATGTTGGTAATTGCTCACATTTATTGAGCTCTTAACATATGTCAGGTACTATTCCCAACACTTTTTACACACTTTAATTTTTACAACTAATAATCTCCTCTTTGTTGTGAATTTTATTGTTATCTCCAACATTTAAATGAGGAAAATAAGGCCTAGGGATATATATATAACTTGCCCTAAGTCACACAGCTAGCAAGTACTAGCTAGGATTGATTTGTGAGTCCTTCTGAAAAGTGAGCATTCTTAATGATTAGATTACCTGCAAAATCAGAGAACCTTTGTATTGACTACTGTTGCTATTTCTCCTTTGCAGTATACCATGCCATCTATCTAGAAGAACTGACAGCTGTTGAATTGACAGAAAAAATTGCTCAGCTTTTCAGCATTTCTCCTCGACAGATCAGCCAGATTTATAAGCAGGGGCCAACAGGAATCCATGTGCTCATCAGTGATGAGGTAGGTTTTTTAGTACAGTTGAATTTCGTACAGATGATAATTAGTTTGTCAGGGCACCATGTAACAATAGCAAGATTAGTTCCACTGGAGAGGAGTTCGGTTTTTCTAGACAGGAGTTTTCTAAACTTTCTTTTTTATTTAAATTTTTTTAATTGTTCTTTTTAGTTATACATGACTATTTTGACATACTATACATACATGGAGCATAACTTCCCATTCTTATGGTTGTAAATAATGTGGAGTTACACTGGTCAGGTATTCATATATGAACATAGGAAAGTTTATGTTTAATTCATTCTACTGTTTTTCCTATTCCCAAACTTCCTCCCTTCCTTTCATTCCCCTTTGTCTAATCCAATGAACTTCTATTCTCTGCCCCCCATCCCCAATTGTGTGTTAGTATGCATGTCCGAGAAAACATTCAGCCTTTGGTGTTTTGAGATTGGCTTATTTCACTGAGCATGATAATTTCCAGTTCCATTCATTTGCCTGCAAATGCCATAATTCTATTCTTATTCTTTTTTTTGCAGATGGACAGCATGACTTTATTTTATTTATTTATTTTTATGTGGTGCTAAGGATTGAACCCAGTGCCTCACATGTGCTAGGCAAACACTTTGCCACTGAGCTACAGCCCCAGCCCCAATTCCATTCTTCTTTATGGCTGAGTAATATTCCATTGTGTATATATACCACATTTCTTTATCCATTCATCTGTTGAAAGGCACCTAGATTGGTTCCATAGCTTATCTATTATGAATTGAACTGCTGTGAACATTGATGTGACTACATCACTATAGTATGCTGATTTTGAATCCTTTGGGTATATATTGAGGAGTGGGATAATGGGTCAAGTGGTATTTCTATTCCAAGTTTTCCGAGGAATCTCCATACTGCTTTCCAAAATGGTTGCACCAATTTGCAGTTCCACCAGCAATGTATGAGTGTAATTGTTCCCCCACATCCTTGCCAACATTTATCATTACTTATATTCTTTTTTAAATATTTTTTTAGTTGCAGATAGACACAATGCCTTTATTTATTTATTTATTTATTTACTTATCGGTCTATTTATTTATTTATTTATGTGGTGTTGAGGATCGGACCCAGTGCCTCATATGTGCTTGGCAAGCATTCTACCACTAAGCCACAATCCCAACCCCTATCATTCCTTATAGTCTTGATAATTGCCATTCTGACTAGAGTGAGATGAAATCTCAGTGTAGTTTCAATTTGCATTTCTCTTATTGCTAGAGATGTTGAACATTTTTTCATATATTTATTGCTTGATTATATTTCTTCTGTGAAGTATCTGTTCAGTTCCTTTGCCCATTTATTGATTGGGTTATATGTTTTTGTGGTGGTAAGTTTTTTGAGTTCTTTATATATTTTGGAGATTAATGCTCTGAGGTGGCAAAGATTTTCTCCCATTCCTAAGGCTTTCTGCTCATGTTCTTGATTGTCTCCTTAGCTGTGAAGAATTTATTTTTTATATACCATTCCATTTATTGTTTCTTGATTTTACTTCTTGTGCTTTAGGAGTCTTATTGAGGAATTCAGTTCCTAAGCCAACATTATGGAGTTTGGGACCTACTTTTTCTCCTAATAGATGTAGGGTCTCTAGTCTAATGCCTTGGTTCTTGTTCTACTTTGAGTTGAGTTTTGTGCAGGGTGAGAGATGGGGTTTAATTTCATTTTGCTACATATGGATTTCCAGTTTACCAGCACCATGTGTTGAAGGGGCTATCTTTTCTCCAAGGTATGTTTATGGTGCCTTTGTCTAGTATGAGATAACTGTATTTATGTGGGCTTGTCTTTGTGTCTTATATTCTGTGACATTGGTTTTCATGTTTGTTTTGGTGCCAATATCATGTCGTTTTTGTTACTATAGCTCTGTAATAAAACTTAAGGTCTGATATTGGGATGCCTCCTGCTTTAACTTTTCTTGCTGAGCATTGCTTTGGCAATTCTGGGGCTCTTATTTTTCCAAATGAATTTCATGATTGCTTTTTCTATTTCTAGAAAGAATGTCATTGTCATTTTACTAGGAATTGCATTAAATCTGTATAGCATTTTTGGCAGTGTGGCCATTTTGACAATGTTAATTCTGCCTATCCAAGAACAGGGGAGCTCTTTCCATCTTCCAAGGTTGTCTTCAATTTCTTTCTTTAGTATTTTATAGTTTTAATTGTAGAGGTCATTCACCTCTTTTGTTAGATTGATGCCCAAATATTTCATTTTTTTTCAAGGCTATTATGAATGGGATAGTTTTCCTAATTTTTCTTTCAATTGATTTATTATTGATGTATAGGAACACAATTGATTTATGGGTGTTAATTTATATCCTGCTACTTTGCTGAATTCATTTATGAGTTCTAAAAGATTTTATTTTTTTAGTACTGGGGATTGAACTCAGAGGCACTCGACCACTGAGTCATATCCCAAACCCTGTTTTGTATTTTATTTAGAGACAGGGTCTCACTGAGTTGCTTAGTGCCTCACTTTTACTGAAGCTGGCTTTGAACTTGTGATCTTCTTGTCTCAGCCTCCTGAACTGCTGGGATTACAGGCGTATGCCACCATGCCAGGCTGATTTCTAAAAGTTTTTTGGGTCTTCTAAATATAGAATCATGTCCTCAGCAAATAAGGATAGTTTGAGTTCTTCTTTTCCTGTTCTTATCCCTTTAATTTCTTTCTTCTGTCTAATTGCTCTGGATGGAATTTCAAGGACTATGTTGAATAGAAGTGGTAAAAGGGGCATCCTTGTCTTGCTCTGGTTTATACAGGGAATGCTTTCAATTTTTCTGTATAGAATGATGTTGGCTTTGGTTTTACAATGTTGAGGTATGTTCCTACTATGCCTAGTTTTCTAGTGTTTTGAACATGAATGGATACTGTATTTTGTCAAATGCTTTTTCTGCTTCTATTGAGATAATCATGTTTTTTTTTTAGTTGTTGATGTATCTTTAATTAATTAATTAATTAATTAAAGTACTTATTTATATGCAGTGTTGAGAATTGAACCCAGTGTCACACATGCTAGGCAAATGCTCTACCATTGAGCTACAACTCCAGCCCAATCATGTGATTCTTTTCTTTAAGTCTGTTGGTGTGATGAATTATATTTATTGATTTCTGTATGTTGAACCAACTTTGCATCCCTGGAATGAACTCCATTTGATCATGGTGCACTGCCTAGCATGTTTTTGTATGTGATTTTCTTGTTTTTTATTAAGAATTTTTGTATCTATGTTCATCAGGGATATTGGTCTGAAGTTTTCTTTCCTCAATGTGTCTTCGTCTGGTTTTGGTATCAGGGTGATACTATCTTCATAGAATGAGTTTGGAAGAGTTCCTCCTTTTCTATTTCATGGAATAATTTGAAGAGGATTGGTGTTAGTTTTTCTTTGAAGGTTTGGTAGAACTTGGCTGAGAATCTGTCTGGTCCTGGGCTTTTCTTTGTTGGTAGGCTTTTGATAATATCTTCAATTTCCTTGCTTAAAATTGATCTGTTTAAATTTTTTATGTCCTCCTGATTCCATTTGGGTAGTTTAAATGTCTCTAGAAATTTGTCATTGTCTTCTAGATTTTCTATTTTATTAGAGTCTAAATTTTCAAAATAGCTTCTAATTATTGTCTGTATTTCAGTAGTGTCTGTTGTTATATTTTCTTTTTCACCAGAAATTTTAGTATTGTAAGTTTTGGCCATGAACTCCTGAGCTCAGGTAATCCTCCTACCTCAGCCTCCTAAGGAACTGGCACTGTGTTCCACTATGTCTGTGGCTAAGACTGTTTTTGCTTTCTTCCTTCCTTCCTAACATAATTTCTTTTCTTTTTTTTGGTACTGGGAATTGAACCCAGGGATGCTTTACCACTGAGCTACATCCCCAACCTTCTTTTAATATTTTTATTTTCAGACAGAGTCTCAAAAGTTGCCAAGGCTGATATCAAGTTCGTAACCATCCTGTCTCAACCTCTCAAGTCACTAGGATTACAAACATGCCCCACCAAACTCAGCCTAATTTAAAAATTTTAAAATAGTTGTAAAAGATTTACCATTTGGGAGAAAAGAAGTTGTAAAAGATGTCATTCCTAGGCACATCATGATATTTAAGAATGAAATGGTTAGCCAGGTGCGGGTGCATTCCTATAATCCCAGAGACTCGGGGAAGATTGCAGGTTCAAAGACAGCCTCAGCAACATAGTAAGACCCTGTCTCAAAATAAAAAATAAAAGGGCTGAGGCAGGAAGCTGGGGCTGTAGCTGATTGGTAGAGCACTTGCCTAGCATGGGTGAGGCACTGGGTTCGATCCTCAGCACCACAAAAAAAATAAATAAAGTCATAAAAATATATTTTTTTAAAGGGGAGGGGGCTGAGGATGTGGCTCAGTGGGTAAGCACCCCTGGTGTTCAATCCCTGCTGTCCCCCAAAAAAGAATGAAATGGTTTCATTACTATTCTAATTGCATTCCATGTAATTTAAGTACAACAGTGATCCACCCCCCCCCCCATACGGAGGATCAGAATTATAAGAGTGATTAAATACAAATACCAACCATTTAAAAAAAATACATAACCATGATTTTCTTTATGAGTTAGAATTTTTATATTATTCCTATGTTTCCTTTAACCCATATTTCCATTTGCCTCTCCCATAGACTTCATTTTTATTTTTTTTTCCTATAATACTAGGGATTGAACCCAGGGGTGCCCCAGCCCATTTTTTAAATTGATCTATCTATCTATCTATCTATCTATCTATCTATCTATCTATCTATCTATCTATCTACCTACCTATTGATTGGTACTGGGGATTGAACCATTTAACTACTGAGCCACGTTCTCAGTCCTTTTTTTTAAATATTATTTTTAATTGTAGATGGACCTTTATTTTATGTATTTATTTTTATGTGGTGCTGAGGATCAAACTCAGTGCCTCATACATGCAAGGCAAGTGCTCTGCCGCTGAGCCACCACCCCAGACGTATTTTTATTTTTTATTTTGAGATAGGGACTCATTAAGTTGCTGAGGCTGGCTTTGAACTTGGAATCCTCCTGCCTCAGCTTCCTGAGCTGCTGGGATTACAGGCTTGCAGTATTGTGCCTGCCCCCCGTCTTTTTTTTTTAACTTTGAGCCAGGGTCTCTCTAATTTTCTCAGGCTGGTCTCAAATTCAGTGATCTTCTTGCTTGACCCTCTTGAGTAGCTGGGATTATAGCCACTGCACTCAACATCCCCATAGACTTGTATCTGACCATAACGTTTTAATGCTTAAATGTCTTTTATCGATTATCCTGCCATATTCCTTTGAAACAAAAAAATTAAATATTTATTTATTTTTTTAGTTGTAGTTGGACACAATATCTTCATTTTATTTATCTGTTTGGTACTGAGGATTGAACCCAGGGCCCTGCACATGCTAAGCGAGCGCTGTACTGCTGACCCACAGTCCCAGCTCCTGAAACAAAAATTTGTATCAACAAAATCTAAAAAGGTTTTAGGAAATCTTTTGTTTTCATTAGAAGTTCAAAAATTATTTCTTCTGAATAGAATTATCACAATTATGTAACTTTTAAAAAATAACAAAAAGATTACATGTTTAATAAGTGATTAAACATGAAAAAGTGCTAGAGATGTAACTCCATGATAGAGCACATACTTAGTGGGTTCAATCCCCAGCACCAGAAAAAGAAAAAAGTTTATTATACATGCATCTATTAATGAGGTCAATGGAATAGTTCCATTCCCTACCCTCACCCTAGCACACAATTAATGTGTCTGAAGAATACTGCCTATTAATTGCTAAAATGACTCAGCATTCAGCATCAATTCTATCCTGATTTTCCCCCTAGATATAGGTGCTGTGGAGCCTAATTTACCTAAATTAATAAATAGGAACTGATAGAGTTTTGTTACAACCTCAACACTGGTTTTTTTTGTTATGTACTAAAAATTATATAGTGATGTTATCACAAATTATTTTGAGTCATGTATTATTTGACAATTTGAGATTAGGTCACTCTTCAATTCTAATGAAAGGAAAGAATTAGAAACCATGTGACTCATACTAGAGTGTTACCCAGTCATTAGAATTCACTTTTGTAGTTCTGCTTTGGCACCATGATGCTTTTACACCCAAGGCACCTTTGTAGTACTCTAGTATTCTCAGTAGTATTCTATTATTTTGTTAAAAGGGAGATGGGAATTTGAGATGGGGAAATGGGGAAGAAAAACTAAAAAGGATTTAAGAAAGTTGAAGACCTGGATGTCAGTTCTCACATAACGGCCTGTTAGTGTCTTTGTTCCCCTTGGAAAATTTGGGGGTTAACCAAGAGAAATGCATACTCCACTTTTAAGATGACTGTTCTAGATGCCTCTGTTTTATTTATTTCTTTTTTAATGTAGGTGGAAACAATACGTTTTATTTTATTTTTATGTGGTGCTGAGGATCAAACCCAATGACTCATGCATGCCAGACGAGCGCTCTACCACTGAGCCACAACCCCAACTCCTCTGTTTTAAAATTTCAAAATCAGACATGGGGAGGACATGGGGAGGACCACCCTAAAAACAAACAGACTCATGAAGCAGGCTTTTGAAAATTGGAAGGAAAACACTTACATAATTCTATAGAAATTCAGGTATATTCTATTTGTGACCTATAAATTCTGTCATATAAACCCCACCTTAGGAACACAGAAATAGGGTCTTTTTTTTTGTTTTTTACTTAAATCTAACATTATGAAAAGCCACATTGTCAAAATAATATAGCAAACCAAAGTTTTTAATAATCAGAAAATTTTCTTGCCTTTTTTCAGATGATACAGAACTTTCAGGAAGAAGCCTGTTTTATTCTGGACACAATGAAAGGTAATAAAATTGTAAGAGAAATAACTTTTAGTTTCTAAGTCTTTCAAAACCTCTTTTCAGGCTGTGAGTGCAGTTCAGTGGTAGAGCATGTGCTTAGCATGCACTGGGTCCTGGGTTCAATCCCCAGAACCAAAGGAAAATAAAGCTCTTTTCATATTTGACTTATTTAAAGAGAAATATGGAAGAAATCATATATGCAATAAAAAAGTAGTATTACTAGAGATTGTTTCTTTGTGTGAGTTGGCCTTTTACCATTATCAACAAAGAAAGAACACTGACAACTCTCTACCATTCTCTTCCATCTTTTTTTTTTTTAAATTAGGAAATCTTTGTTTATTTTTATGTGGTACTGAGGATCGAACCCAGTGCCTCACACATGCAAAGCAGGTGCTCTACCAGTGAGCCCCAGCCCCAGCCCCTATTCTCTTCCATCTGACAAATGAGGAAATCAAGGCACATTATTTTTATAATACCTATTTTTTTTAAACATTTATTTTTTAGGTGTAGATGGACACAACACAATGCCTTTATTTTGTGGTACTGAGGATCGAACCTGGGTCCCGCCCGTGCTAGGCGAGCACTCTACCTCTGAGCCACAATTTCAGCCCCTATAATACCTATTTATTATGGATGCTCCTTGACTTATGATAGGGTCACATCCTGATAAACCCATCCTAAGCTGAAAATGTCAAAAGTTGAAAATGCATTTAATGCACCTAACCCATCCAACCTTATAGCTTGACAACCCAGCATATTGTAGAATTCTAAGTTGTTTTCCCAGGTGATCTTGCTGCTTACCACAAACTGTGCCTCATTGCCACTGCCCAGCATCATGATAGAGTTTCATACCACTTATTCCTAGCCCAGGAAAAGATCAAAATTCAAATTACATTTTCTACTGAATGCATATCACTTTTGCACCTTTTGTTAGCCTAAGTATCATAAATGGAATTATCATAAGTCAGGCTTCATCTATACAAATCATTCTATGCTAAATGATAAGTATGTTTTTTTTTTTTTTTTTTAACCAGGGATTTAACACAGTGGTGGTGGTTAACCACTGAGCTACATCCCCAGCCAGTTTTTTATTTTAAGACAAAGTCTCACTAAATTGCTGAGGCTGGGTTTGAACTGTCCTCCTGCCTCAGCTCCCCAAGCTGTGGGATTACAGGTGTGAGTTACCATGCCCAGTTAGAATGCAGCCCTTATCTTGTGCTGGCTTTATTCCCTCTCACAAGAACCTTACCGTAGTTTTTTTCTCCTACTGTTTTAAAGGTGACTAAAAATTCTCCCTTTCTCTCTCTCTTTTTTGCAGCAGAAACCAATGATAGCTATCATATTATACTGAAGTAGGAGTGGAGCATCCCATGCTCAGTGGCTGCTGCTTTCCTCACCTCTTGAAAACTGCCCTCTTGGCATGTGAATGGAGATTTGAAGGTCTGCAGGAATCTGGCTCATCTGACTGTGTGGGGGGAATCTAGACCCTGGAGGCAGAATCCCAGCCCTCTGTGTTGGCCTAAGCTCTGTGTCACACACAGATCACTGCCTAACATGCAGTTCTGCAGAGATTTTTTTTAGTTAAACTTTTGGCCCCTGTTATTGAATATCAGTAGGAACTCCACATCATTTAGGTTATATGTAGGGCATAGTGATGATGGGAATTGTGTGATGTTTAATGGAAAGATGTTAAATTTTGTGATATGGAGTCATGTAATTTTTTCTAATATAAAAATGAACATCTATATTCATAAGACTAGGTCCTCAATCTCTTTTGCATCAACCATATTGTCATCTCTATTTTTTGTTTTGTTTTAGGTTTTTGTTTTTTGTTTTGTTTTGTTTTGTTGCCACAATTGGTTCCTGAAAACTTCATCAATGAGGGGAAATACACGAAGAATTTCTTCTGGTTCACTTGTAATACTATAACTGGTAGTTGTTTTGGCCAGTTATTTATTGAGCCAGGCAGAAATTTTTCTAAATGGATTATCTTGTTTACTTCCTGTATGAAGTGGGCACTACAGTGATCCCTAACTAAAGATGGGGAAATGGAGACACATGGTAGCTAAGTAGCTTGCTAAATAACAGGCAACTAGCAAGTAGTGATGCTGAAATCCAAACCTAGGCTAACTGCTATTATTTTCCATCCAGTACCACCAGTGCCACCCTTCTTTATAGCCTATGCTCACCATTGTTTCTTACCATGGCTTTTCTGAGGAACTAAGGAATTAACCACTGAAAAAGACAAACCACACCTAAATAATAATGAACAAATCAAGACCTACAAAAGATACTTTTAAAGTGACATCTGTTATCAGAATCATAATTAGAGGTGGTAAAAACTCAGGATTATCTGTAACTCCTAAAATTCATTGTTCTTGAACGACATTCTTAAACCATTTATATTTGAGTTAGGCCATTACTGCTTTCACCTCTGAATCTTCTCTTGGTATAGGAAATACTTTTACTCATGTAGTATTATTTTATATAAACTTTACAAGAAATTAATTCTTGTTGGACATGGTGACACATACCTAAGTCCACTGACTTGTGAGGCAGAGACAGGAGGTAAAAAGGGCTGTGGAGGTAGCTCAGTGGTAGAGCTCTTCTGGGTTCAGTCCCCAGTATCAAAAAGAAAAAGAAGATATTCATTCCTCTCCTATTTGCACTCTTACCATAAGTTTTTGTTCTTCCTTAAGAATGAGAGAGTGAGAGAGAGAGAGAGTGTGTGTGTGTGTGTGTTTGTGTGTGTGTGTATCATCATGGATCTTCTGTTTTCTCTTGTAGTTTTAGAAATCTCTCCATAGTTTATATTGAGGTGAACAAAGACAATATTAAGATTCTGTATTGGATGTGTGTGTGTGTGTGTGTGTGTATGTGTGTTTAAAGTATTTGACAGAGTTTTAACTTTTTTTTTACAGATATTTTTGTTTATTAAAATCAACCTGTGGGCTGGGGTTATGGCTCAGTGGTAGAGCGCTCACCTAGCTTGCACGAGACACTGGGTTCGATCCTCAGCACCATGTGAATATAAAATAAAGATATTGTGTCCACCTAAAACTAAAAAATAAATATTTAAAAAAAATCAACCTGCAATGCAGTCTAATTTCTTTTGGTTTGAAACAAAATGAGAATCTTGAAACCAGAAAATTAAGTCAGTGACTTTTTATTTTTAAATTTATGTTTATGTGGTGCTGAGGATCGAACCCAGGGTCTCACATGTGCTAGGCAAGGGCTCTACTGCTGAGCCACATCCCCATCCCCAAGTCAGTGACTTCTTTAAAACTGACTTGGGCAACTCAACATGTTAAGCCAAAATGCTTTTTTAAAGAGTGATTACTTGATGCCCCATTTTGAGGAGAAATTTTTAGTTGTTTTGTGTTCCTATGATTGGTTCTCTGCTTCAGTGAAGTTGGCTCTCCTTTCCTTAACAGGTTACTATCGGTTATGATTTTTCCCCCCTATTTTGATGTTAGGATAGCAGGGTTGGACTAGGTGACTTAAGGTTCCTTCCAAATCTGTGAATCTATGATTCTTATGTATTGCAAATGATGCATAGAATTCTATTAATATATTGACTATAAATTATAATTACTAATTTTTACTTGAAGTCAGGGTTTTATTAGAACAGTATTTATGAAAATGAATTTATACAGCATTGTAATTACAGATCTTTAATTTTACCAGAAAATATCTTGGGCTTTCTTTAGTTCTCCACCAACACATTTATTGTGCCAGTGTGATATAATTGGTAATAATTGGTATAGTAATAGAACATTGTAATTATTTTATTTGCTTTACAAAATTGCATATGTTCACTATTGATCCTTTTAATTAAATGTAAATTTTAAGCTACCTTTTTCATTTTAAAAGTAATACACAAAATTATAAATTAAAACAATAAAGAAGGGCGTAACTTTCTCCTTATCTTTTAGTTCCACACTAAAGAGGTAATCATTGCATTTCCCCCTTCCAGTATACACACACACACACACACACACACACACACACACACACACACACACACACACATACTCTCAGAAGGGTTCATGTTGTACTAATAATCTGCAACTTCATTTTTGTATTTAACATACATTGACCATCTTTCTATATTAGAATTTATAGTTGTATTCATTTTTTTAAATAACTATTCTCTATGGATGCCATTCAGGTTAAATATATTTGAACATTCATTTTTATGAGTTTTTTTTTGCACGTATCTCTAAAATATATTTCTAGAAGCAAAATTTGCTGGATTTTATCTTTTTGTGATAGTAAATTTTAAAGTAAATGGTTTTGTGTTTCCATTATATTGAAGGCATATAAGAAGCAGAATGGTTGTATTTTAGACCCTTCTGAGAAGTGGAATAGCATTCTATTTGACTTACTATTGTCTATACTGTTCCCTTGAAGAACAGTAGGTTCCATGTAGGAAAATCTGTATAAAGACTTGATAATTCAATTGGGAAATAAAAGCGGGGAGGAGTTGTAGCAGGACTCTTAAGGATTATTAGTCACTAAATGAATTGTGCTATTAACTAATAGGATTTTTTTGTCCAATATTATGGCCCAATAAGAATGTTTGCCCACATAAATGATTTATTTAAGAAGTCCTTTAAAAGGAAGAGAAATTGAAATGGTCTTATTGGCTGGAAAGTGATTATAATATAACAAATAGAAATAGCTAACGACCCAAAAAGGCAAGGTCTACTTGAGAGGCAAGTGTTCTCATTCCTGGAAGTCAGTCACTTTGATTTACTGGGTTGCTTGCAAGGGTCACAGCATAATCTCACCACTGAGCTGGAGGTACATGGGAAGTTTGGTAAGTAAGGATGGGAGGTTTGTGGGATAATGGAGCCAGCCATTTTTTATTTATGTGTAATGGAAGACTGCTCTCAAAACCCTTTATATACCAAAATATTCTGAGATAGTCTTTTGTATAGGGTTGCTGCAGAGATTTGAACTGTTTTGCAAATCACCATGAAAGGCTGAAACTTCATCATTCAGTCTTGAAAGTAACCTACTTAGAGTGTAAATATTTGAAGCCAGGACTGACTTCTCTCTCATTGTAACTTTTTTCTCTGGCCAGAACCAACAATTTTAGATAGTTTGGCACTGAAAGCTAAAGTAGAACCATTTTATTATTTTACTAAATCATTAGTCTGCTTCCTTGACCATGGATGATTCTTCTACAGGTATCCGATTTATTATGGCCCCTACTGGTTTGTCACAAGAACTCCAGTCTTAACAGGAATGGCACAAATGTCCCACATAGCTGAATCATTTATATTCTGTATCATAGAGAATAGCTCTCTGTGAAAAGAGCACTGTTTTTCACATAAATGCTCTTATTTTCTTAGTTTTGGGGTAAAGCTTTTTCTGCTAGAATATTTATTTTTAGTTTATGATTACGTTTTTCCTTCATTATACTAATTCCAAGACTTAAATGAGGAAGAATATACTACCACTGCAAAATGGAATGATCTGGGAAAGATGTCCTATGTGACATGACAGTTATGCTACCAGCAACTGCTTTTATTCTGCGGATTCCTTGCTTCTTTCAATGACCTTGTATTTTACCTTCAACCTTGAACCACTTCCTTAATCTTTCTACATCTTCCCTCTTTATTTTCACATTTCTTTTATGTTGTTCCTTATGAACACAGGCCTATTCTAAAATGTTACCTGAGAAACTGCAAGTAAGACAAGCATTTGCATTCTCAAATTCAAAAATTTAAAAGTTGTATATAATTTTTTTCAATGACTAATTTCAATTATAAGGAAACTTGCTTTTTAAAATAATACTATCATATTGTAATTATATTATTTTGTACTGAGTATGTGATCTTTTGGGACATGAATAATAACTAGTTTATTAAAATGAGGAACATATATCTCATCTTAAAAAAAAAATCTAAGTTTTTTAGGTTTTTTTTTCCTTAGTTTTTTTTTTAAGATGAGGTATATGTTCCTCATTTTAATCAGTGCAGATTCCTGTTTTATTTTTGAGTTCTGTCTAATTTTCCATTTAAAGGATTAGTTAATATCTTTCCCTAGACATCTTTATAATCTTGCTTCATGTTTTCATTCACTTACTTGAATTTATTAAGCTTACTCTCTAGTGCTAGGGTTGTAGTTCAGTGGTAGAGTACTTGCCTAGTATGCATAAGGCCCTGGATTCAATCCTTAGCACTACAAAAAGAAGAAGAAGAAGAAGAAGAAGAAGAAGAAGAAGAAGAAGAAAGGAGATAATAATTCATACAGTAGGGGTTTAATAATGGGGGTTGTTCAGAGATTCAAAAGGAAAATAAGTATAAAACAATTTTATTTTGTACTTTATATATCTATTTAGTTGCTCAGTAAACTAAAGACACTCCTGAGTACAAGATCGCCTTCCTATGTAGATATAACTGCAAGATGGATATATAAATACTGCCCAGAACACAAAATCTTACTTTGGGGATTTTATCCACAGCTACTGTTTTTTATTCATTCATTCATTCATTCATTCATTTATCTGCTGTACTGGGGATTGAACCCAGCCGTGTTCTACCACTGAGTTACATTCCCAGCTCTTTTTATTTTTTATCTTGAGACAGGGTTAGTTGCTTAGTTGCTCAGGCTGGCTTAGAACTTTCGATCCTCCTGCCTCAGCCTCCTGAGTAGCTATTAATTACAGGCATGCATTACCTTGCCTGGGTTTTGTGGCTTCTGTTTGCAGTGCTTGTTTTTGGTCTTATATCTTTTTTTTTTT